GGGGCCACGGGCCCTATAAAAAAAAACCCTAAAAAAAAAAAAAAAAAAAAAAAAAAAAAAAAACACCAAAATAAACTTATCCTTTAATTCCATTTTACCTGAACTTTTTGAAGTTCCCTGATATACTTATTGAAAAATATTGCTTTCTTTATGCAATTTAAACAAGACATGGATACCCACATCTCCACTTTTACTCAATATTATTATTGCAGTGCAACAAGGAAATAAAAACTCTAGGAATGAAAGAAACAAAACTATCACAATTTATAGATGTCTATACAAAAAACTCAGAAGAATTCACAGATAAATATTCCAATAAGATGCACTAGCTGAGCAAGATAGCTGAATCCAAGCTCAATATACAAAAAGTATCAACTTTATTTCTATCGACAGGCAATACATGAGAAAAAAAATTGATTGAAAAAATAATATTTACCATAGGATCCCAATATCAAATAGCTAGAGTAAATCTTAAAAATAGGGAACCAGCAGTTAGCATAATGGCTATGTCGTTGGACTCCCACGTAGTCAACCGCGGTTTGCGTCCTGGACCCGGTGGCTTAAAACTCTCGCCAGGCGCGTGTGTGTGCGTGCCCAAGATCCCAAGAGGAGAATGGAGGAGAAGGGATTGTGGCATGACCATCCCCCCTGCAGGGTGATTTCTCACTTTCTGTCTCTCTGTCTCTGTCTGTCTGGCAAACGCACGTGCCCTATAACAAAAACCTCTCAAAAAAATATATATATATGTAAATCCTCTCTACAGGGAATATGGTAAACTGAATAAGATAAGACTAGTAAAATATCAATAGATTGGGAAATTTAATATTATGTCTTCCCCTTCCCCCCAATTATTGATATTTAATGTCATTCCAATCAAAACTCTTGCTTTGTAGAGTTTGGCATATTGATTATAAAGTATATTAAGCTTTTCTCCCTTTTTCTTCTTCTCTTCTTGAGCATTTCAGTTCAACAGTAACAGGGACAGAAACAGCAGCTACGGCAGCCCAGATGGTGTGGGAGCCTGGATGAGATGGGAAAGGCATGAATATGGGAGAGCCACTCTGCAGTGTTGGAGTTCAAGTGAGAGAAGCCCCAAAAGTGGACAATATTGAATGAGGTCGCAAAGGCTAAGTGGGGTGAGGAGGAATCCACATAGGAGTGGAGATATAGTCCAGCATGAGCTTTTAGAACCCTGAGAGGGTCAATTATCTGCATGAAAGGGTAGCCTGGCCCATCATGTCTGAGAAAGGCTGGAGTGAAGAGGGCATCCATTTGGGAAGAGCAGCAGTGGAGGGAACCTGATGAAGGGTACAGAGTCCAAGTGGAGTGAGGAGGGTATCTGGGCAGGAATGAGAGACTGCTTACATAAAAACAAAACAAGTGAGCAAGTATACTGAGGATGTTCGGAGCCAGGTCATTGCCAGAAAACAGAGTTAGTGACAAATTCTGAGAGAAGAAATGTCCTGGCCCACAGGGCAGTCAAACAGGTTTCCTGAGGGAAGGAGTGAGAGACAGGACGAACAGCACAGAACAGCACACTGTCACAGCACGGAGACGACGCAGTGTCTCTTCAGGGCCGTCTCTTTATTGTAGGCAGCATGGAGACACAGTGTTCAGGGTCACCCAGAGCCAACGCGATGTCGTCATAGCTCAGGGTCGTCCAGAGACAACGCAGCATCACAGCTCAGGGTCATCCGGAGATGGCGCGGTGTCGCAGCTCAGGGTCGTCCAGAGATGGCACGGTGTCACAACTCTTCAGGGTCTCCAGGGTCATCTGATGATTATGGGCCAGGGATCGTGGTTATATACACATTGGTGGGCCGTGATTGGTTGAATGAAGGATAGTAGAAGGTGAGTTATGATTGGTTGCTTTGTGGACCAATCATGAGGTGCCCAGATATGCAAATCTGAGGGATTCTAAGCTCACCGATTTGCTATAGGAAGTGGCCAATCAGAGTGTGGTATTGAAGGTGAGGTTTTTGAAAGGGAGCCAATTGTGGCCTCTGTAATTGTTTGCTCTCTGAGTCTAAGATGGCAATAGTAAGAGACTCATGAAAAATAGCCTCAGCAGACTTGCTGGTGCGCAGCCTCCCACAAAGAAAGAACTAGAATGACTAATAGAACTGGAATTGGAAGTTTGGCTATGAAGTCACAGTCTTTAGTATATTTTGAGGCAGAAATACAGATGAATGTACACATGTACGTATGTCTCCTTGTGCTGTTCACTACGGCATCTATGAGCTTGTGACAACCCTAGCAGCAAATACACACACCTACCATAGTGCCCAGAGGTTGGTTTCTAAATATCATTCTCTCCCTCAAAGGAATCTGTATAGAAAGTGACCAGTTCCAGGGCTTAGACAGAGAAAATACAAAAGGAGCTTGGAATACCTTTTACCAGAAAGTAAAAATGTGTTCACAGAAAAATAAGGACAGGTCATGGGGTCAGCTTGAAACAGCCACTATGGCCAAATCAGGGGTATGTCTAAACACTGTAATAGTAAGCTTTCTCTTCTCCCCATTTTTTGCTGGCTGCTTGGTTTTCAGTCTATTTGTTTACCAATGTAGCAAAATGAAAGAATAAGAAAATCATTCTCTGGCAGTCCTCTTAAAAATTGAATTAAAAAGGAATCATCAATGCATGCTAAATCTAGTGGGTGAAAATTTGAGGAGTAACCTGATATTTAGAATCTCAAAAGTAACTACACACAAGATGTCTTGTGTAATACAAAGGATAAATAGTGGCTTTACCATGGACAAACCAAGCAGATGTTAACAGTCCAAATGGACAGTGACCAGCAATGGATCTGAGTTACATGTGCCTCCAGACCTGCTGCACAGAGAAGACCTCTGCGATCATGCTGCAATCCCTTCTCCTCCATTTTTCTCTCCTTTTGGGATCCTGGACAAATACACACTCAAATTCAACATGTTTTACAGATCACAGAGTCTAAGACCCCTGTACAGTTGGCCATGTGAGAGTCCAGCATCTTAACCACTACACAACCTGCTGGCCCCAATAAGCCACTTGGCCCTCCACTAAATATCAATGGAAGTTTGGTGGGGATAGTTTAAACAGTGTCATTTAGGCAATTTGACTATAGAAAAACAAATATTACTGGTTTTCATTTACAAAATTCACTTTATAGTTATAGATACTGAGAAAAGTTTAAAATTTCATAAAAATGTTCATCACACACATATGATAAAAAAAGTCTTTAATAAAAATTTTTACATGTCATGTGTTTAATGGAAAACAATTAAAAGGTTATTTAAACAATCCAGTCAATAAAATCTAATCTTTCATATCATATAATTTTTCTTTGAGATCTGTCCATAATCTTACAATGCTCTCAAAAGTAAATCTTAAGCTCGGTTTCACTTATAAGATCTTTGAGGAGAAGCTCTAGGATAAAAATCCAAATTCAGTAGCAACTGGGGAAAAAAGAGAAAGAATTATGAGTCATTGGGAAAGTCATGACACATTTCTGCATAGAAAAATACATAATGCCTTTCCCATTGACCTAATATATCCTTTACCTAAAAGGCTTCACAGACAACTAAGTATAAGTTGGTTTAATAAAAAAAGAAGTAAGAATAGACTGGTGTGAATATCCATGAAAAATATGTATGTTCATGTGCAGTACAAAATCACTCTAGGCAGAGTATCCCTTAACCAAAATGCCTGGCACCTGAACTATTTCAGATTTCAGACTTTTTCAGATTTTGGAATAATTACATGTACCTAATAAAATATCTTGGGTGATAAAACCCAAGTGTAATTCAAAATTTATTTATGTTTCATATACGTTTTATACATATAGCCTGATATTTTTGATTTTGTGATATTTTTGTATTGTAATGTTTTGACTGCAATCTGTCATATAGAGTCAGGTATGGAATTTTCCATTTATGGCATCCTGCTGGTGCTCAAAAAGTTTCCAATTTTGGAGCAGTTCAGATTCAGTTTTTCAGATCAGGACTGCTTAACTTGCATTACAAATAATTTGTACTGAGTTGCATGCTGAATTAATTATCAGTGTGTTTAAGTATCAGAGCTTCTGTTCTTCTCATTCTTCATTTATTTATTTGACAACCAAGTGCTAAAGTACTATGACAAAAAAAAACAAAATTACAAGATGATAATGATACAGTAACCCCTCAATCATATATTATAAGCTGAAAAATAGAGAACAGTCAATTTCCATATAGGGTCATAGATACTATAAAAGATAGAAACAGCATCATGGGAATACACAAAATGGACATTTATCCCAATGTTGTGTCAACATTGCAGACTTTTTGATGAAGGTGATATGTAAGTTAACATCTAAAGGACAAAGAAAAACTGTTCCAGATAGAAGGAAGAAGCAAATCTGAAAATCTAGAGGTGTGAGGAAAAACACTTATAAAATTGTAAGTAGTCTACTTTGGCTAGATGCTAGAATAAAGGGGCAAAGATGGGTAAGTGACAAGAGATAAGGCTGAACAACTAGGGAAAAAAATAGATTTGGATTTTATACAAGCTAAAGAACTTGGAACTTTTCCTGAGGCAAAAGATAAACCAGTGTATGTTCCCACTCAGTATATACCAAATGTCTGCAGTCTATGGCAGAAACGGAAAGAGTGGAAAGTACAGAGACATTGTGGGAAACTGTGGAAACTAAAGACAGTGGGGGAGGAGGGTGGAAAATAATGGAGGGTGAAAGAGAGGGAATCAAGGGGAAAAAGAAAGAAGAAAAACATGTAAGGGACACAAAAAAATGAAAAATGATCTGTTGGTGATAATATGTATGGTAACATCTTTGACTGCAAAAATATACAGTGTATTCACAATGGGTAAACTCATTTGGTATACTGCAATAATACACAATGATGAAATGCAAAATATATCAATTAATGAATTAAGTAAAAGGAAAAAAGGTAAACCAATAACAAAGTAAATGACAAGAAAGTTCAGATGTCACAGGATAGCCATATGAACTGTAATTGCTAGATTAAGTATTACTACATTTGTCTGGATGTTTTGGCCTCATAAATTATTACAATAAGCCTGAGGAGTTGGTGATGCCTTTGTTTTCTGAGAATAGTTTCAGTGTGGAAGATAGCAGTTCCACAGGAATGGCAGAAGTAAAGAAAATGTATAGTCAGAAAGAAATATGATACACAGATTTTTCAAGACTTTTAAAAGCTATGGTACATCATGAATAAGTACATTTTTGAGTGTGAATATTTATGTTCTCACCTTCTTGCCTGTTTCTTACATCTATGTGTAAGAAAAAAATATTTAATGTCTTATCTATTCCCCAGTCAAAAGGAAGGAATGCAGTTGTTACTTGTTTATTTCAGATGTCAATTAATTAATCTAAGTTTAATTTATGAATTTTGGCAACATACCTTCACTTAGTTCTCTACTTATATTTCTTATCAATTCCAGTTGTGTCTGAAATAAATCAAAGATGATTTATAATCTTTAAATTAACCAAGAGGTATTGTCTTAGGAATAACATATCATTCACAAAACGTGGCCTTTAAATAATACTTTGAAACTAGATCTAACTTGAGGGTTGCTTGCATAGAAAAATAATCTCATAAATAAAATAAAATTCACACTTATTTTAAGTTTAGAGAACAGGAAAGATACATGCATTAATCCCTTTGGATTAATATGTTTCAAAGTAAAATTAATATGGGTCTTTTGAATGTACAACATTTCAGAAGGGAGCTACTTTATCTTATTAGTACAAACAGTAAACAATTCAAGTCATTTCACATTGGATGCATTTCTTACTCATTCCAATCAGTTTTTTTTTACTTTAATGGATTTCCCTTAAAATAAATTTTCCATTCCCACTTTTAAAAATGAAGAATTTAAGGACTGGCAGATGGCATAATGGTTACATCACTGGATTCCTATGTAAGCAACCATGGATTGAGTTCCAGATTGAGTGACTTAAAACTCACACTGGGTGCATGTGCGTGCCTGCCCAAAATCCCAGGAAGAGGATGGAGGAGAATGGATTATTGCATGGCCATCCCCTCATGGGGTTGATTGCTTGCTTTCTATCTCTCTGCCTCTCTGCTGAGCATATTTTCTAGAGAAAAATATCTCTTAAAAAATTAAGAATTTAAAGTATGTTCCATATGTTAATTTTTAGCACAGAAACTTTAATAAGTAAATTTATGATATCATAATATCATGAAAATTCTACTGGCAGTACATTAAGTACAAAAATAGTGTGGTATGTGTATTATGACTAAGCATTTCTTTATTCATATGAACACAAAAATTTTAGAAAATTTGCCTCAAAAACTATTCTCCAAAAACTAATTAAGCTATTTGGACCAGCAGTTGGCATAATGGCTATGTCACTGGACTCCCACGTAGTTGACCACGGTTCAAGTCCAGGACCCGGTGGCTTAAACTCACACCAGGCACGTGTGCATGTGTGCCCAAGATCCCAAGAGGAGAATGGAAAAAAGGGATTGCAGCATGACCATCCTTCCTGGGGGGTGATTTATCGCTTTCTGTCTATGTCTCTCTGTGTTTCTGGTGAGTGCATGCGCCCTCTAGAAAAACCTCCCCCCCCCAAAAAAAAAAATCAAGCTATGAAGGGCAATGATTTAATCAAAGCCTGTATTTTCACATGAGGCAATACAGGCTCAGAGTACCACAGCTTGTACGAGGTCAGAAAGCCAATTAGCAGCGGTGCAGGAAGGGGCTTGAAATCTCCTTACTGAGCCCTGAGTTCATACTACCTACTTCCTTCCTTTTTATCTTTGGAGAGGATTTTGCCTTAGGGCACATGTGCTTGTCAGAGAAAGAGAGAGACAGAGACAGAAAGTGAAAAATCACTCCCCAGAGGTGAACGGCCATGCCACAATACCTTCTCCATTCTCACACACCTGGCATGAGTTTCAAGACACCGGGTTTAGGATATGAACCTCTGTTGGCCATGTGGGAGCCCAGCAACATAAACACTGGGCCATCTGTTGGCCCTACTACTTCTTTCCTTAAAAAAAAGCATCTATGTTTTTCAATGTTACTCAAGGAAATATAAACAAAACTCTCATGCAGCTGAATAACATCTAGTTATGACAATATAAAAGAGCAGCTCTCATAGCATTATTTGATATTTCCCTAGTGGAAACAAATGCCTAGCAACTCTAGAAGCACTCTGCATAATTATAAAAATTTTGTAAACAACAAATGTATAAGAACTCTTTCAAGGCAATGGGTTATGATTATGAAGACATCTTTGTTTTTTGACAGACTGTTATTTTTTTCTTAAGATTTATTCATTCATTCATTCATTCATTCATTCATTCATTCATTCATTCATTCATTCATTCATTCATTCATTCATTCATTCATTCATTCATTCATTCATTCATTCATTCATTCATTTTAAATTTGACCAGAGAGAGACACACAGAGAGAGAGAGGAAAGTGAGAAAGCAAGCCACCAGGTCCAGGACTTGAACCGTGGCCAGCCATGTGGGAGTGTTCAGTGCCGTAACCACCACGCCACCTGCTGGTCCCGACAGACTGTTATTTTTAATCTCCCTTATTCAGTCTACGATGATTTGGCAAACTAATGCCCCATAAAGAAGCTATGTAGGGGGCCAACGGGTGGTGTGGTGGTTGAGGCATTGGAATTCCCACATGGCTGACCATGGTTTGAATCCCAGACCTGGCAGCTTGCTTTCCCTCTCTTTCTCTTTCTCTCTCTGCCTTTCTCTGACAAAACTCGTGTGAAAAAATAATAATGATAATACATAAATAAATCATTTTTTTAAAAAAAGAAGCTATGTAAACGTTGGAACTTCTGAAGTTGAAAATAAACTATTTTTCCACTGATGTAGAAATACTAAAAAAAAAAATTTCTTTATCTACAAAAAATTTAAGAAATAAATTTTGTCAAAAATACTGTCTTGCATCTCATTTCTATTTACATTTTCTTTTTTTGTTGTTGTTAGAGGTATTTTTTGCTATATGGTGCATGCGCTTGCCAGACAGACAGAGAGAGACAGAGAGACAGAAAGCGAGGAATCACCCCTCAGGGGGAATGGCCATGCCACAATCCCTTCTCCTCCATTCTCCTCTCAGGATCTTGGGCACGCACGCACACGCCCCCAGCATGAGTTTTAAGCCACTGGCTCCCGGACGCCCACCATGGTCGACTACGTGGGAGTCCAGCGACATAGCCATTACGCTAACTGCTGGTCCCTACATTTTCTTTCATCTTCATCTTGTGAAATTAGACATTATCTGATATTTTTCTGGTAAGAACTATTAACATTTTACATTTGTATCAAGTTTTAAATTTTTCCAAGTATTTAACATTCAGTTTCTTTGTGTACCCAAGAGTCTAGTTTTATGACCCAGAAGCATTTAGTCCTTCATCCTCTAATTTTTTTCAGAAAAGCAAACAAACAATCAAAAAACTAAGCAGACAAAATGATGAAAAATATCAGTGGTTTTGGCAGGTGTTGTGGTGGTTAAGTCACTGGACTCGCACAGGGTCGATCATGGTTTCCATCCTGGACCTGGTGGCCTGAAAAATCACACCCCTCACATGTTCATGACCACAGTTCTGAAAAGAGAACAGAGAAGAGATTGTGGCATGGCCACCCTCCTCAGGGGTGATTTCTCTCCTCTCTGTCTCATGCTCATGCGAGTACATGCTCTCTTTGGGACACCCCCTTCGGCAAAACCAAAACAAATGAACAAATATCAGCTAGCTAGAATCTTGGAATTTAAATACTAACAGTCATTTAACTAGTTCTCTTAAGCAATGTGGCTCTGATGCAGTTCTGTCCACAGCTTCAGGCACCCCCTACCTTTGGAGGTCTTGGAACTTACCCCACAGATAAGAAATTCTTACTGTAACTGATTTTGTTTGATGATAGCTGCTACTTCAAGATTTTAAATATTATTGCCATTTTAATCATTAATCATTGAAATAGTGACAAGATAGGCATAAATGAACTTCATTTTTAAAATGCAAATAGTTTGGGGCAGATGGTGACACAGCAGTAAAGCTCGATGCTCTGGAGGGCTTATCCACACAGGAAAGTGGCCAGTTCTCATCCAGACAACTCCCTGGTACATTGGGCATGGATGTGCCTGTGACCTGGGCTGGCCGAACATGAGGGTGGACTGTGGTGTCAAGACTCTCTCTCACTCATGGGATAAATAAATAAATTTGGAAAACACACACACACACACACACACACACACACACACACAGAAATATTTGCTTAATTTTTTTTATACTTTTTTTTTGAGAGATTTTCACTGTAGGGCACATGCGCTCGCCAGACAGACAGAGAGAGACATAGAGACAGAAAGCGAGAAATCACCCCCCATGGGGGATGGTCACGCTGCAATCCCTTCTCCTCTATTCCCCTCTCGGGATCTTGGGCACGCACGCACACGTGCCCGGCGTGAGTTTTAAGCCACCGGGTCCGGGACACGAACCGCGGTCGACTACATGGGAGTCCAGCGACATAGCCATTACGCTAACTGCTGGTTCCCTATACTTTTTTTTTGGAGAGGTTTTCGCTATAGGGCGCATGCGCTCGCCAGACAGACAGAGAGAGAGACAGAGAGATAGAAAGTGAGAAATCACCCCCCAGGGCAGATGGCCATGCCGCAATCCCTTCTCCTCCATTCTCCTCTCGGGATCTTGGGCACGCACGCACACGCGCCCGGTGTGAGTTTTAAGCCACCCAGTCCGGGATGCGAACCACAGTTGACTATATGGGAGTCCAGCGACATAGCCATTACGCTAACTGCTGGTCCCCAAATATTTGCTTAATTTAACTATTTCAAAACTATTGTACAACTGCCAAGCAGTACAAACATTTTATAAAAATTCTCTAAGTAACAATTAAGGAAGTACTCATGTAAGAAAAAGATAATTTTAACTTAAAAACAGAAATTCATCTTTTTTTAGTGATACAATTTTCTTTAATTAATATAGTGGAAGGTATTTATCTTGAATTTATTTAAATAATAAACCTGCCTATGTGGTTTGTATTTGGAGAAAGCATGATAAACCAGGGGTGGTGCAGGAATGTTCTGAAGTGTTATGAACCATGGTCACACTAAGAGCAATTAACAGTCTGTCCAAGCATCTCAAAGTGTACTTTCAGTAACAAGGCAATAATATTCAATTCTAAAATCTAATTTAAATGTTTTTTTAAAAATTTAAAGTATGTCAGTTTAGATACATTTATTGAATATTGAATATTAATACATTTATTGAATTTTGATACATTTATTGAATTAATGAATATCTTTTCAAAATAAGAGCTCTAGGGACTTTAAAAATTGTAAAACTTCTTTTTTTCTTTAGTAACAGAGATAATGATATGGCCTTTACTTAACATGTATAAGTTAATTAAGCATATTACTTCATGAAATTAAAAACAAACAAAAAATGTAGGGACCAGCAGTTAGCGTAATGGCTGTGTCACTGGACTCCCATGTAGTCGGCCACGGTTTGAGTCCCAGACCCGGTGACTTACACTCACACCAGGTGCGTGTGCATGCGTGCCCAAGATCCCAAGAGGAGAATGGAGGAGAAGGGATTGCGGCGTGACCATCCCCCCTGGGGGATGATTTCTCGCTTTCTGTCTCTCTGTCTGTCTCTGTCTGTCTGGCGAGTGCACGTGTGCTATAGCGAAAACCTTTCCAAAAGAAAAAAAAATCATTGGGACCCCAGGCAGCGTGGTGGTTAAGGTGCTGAACGACTACATGGCCACCCTAGTGTGAGACCTAGATCTGACTCTTGCTTTCTCACTTTCCCTCTTTCTCTCTCTGTGTCTCTCTGGTGAGCCTGTAGCAAAATTTTAAAAACTAATAACAACAAAACTAAACAATTAATTTTATAAAAACAAAAAAGAAAGCACATTGTATTGGTACTTTGAAATTCAAAGGAAAAAGGCAAGGTCCATATAACTAACCTGGAACACATCGTTCTCCGTGCTGCTATTCAAAGGCCTGGAAATTGAGCTAGGAAGCACTAAAGTTCCTCTTGAAATGAGATTTCTGCTGCACATTAAATTACTATCAGGATTTACAACAGTAGATGACACTAGGACTCGTCTTGTAGTACGACTGTTGGGTAAAGGGCTATTCCGCTGTTTCTCCACAAGATGTTGGGCCTCAGCTGCTGCTAACTCCTCATTAGCCCTGTGGACATTGAAAAGACAAATGATTAGTATTTCATTTTTCTCTAAATGGCTCCTAAATGCTTGCATTTAAAAAAAAAAAAAAAAGCTGGATAATAATGAATGGGATTTTTCATGTTGTAGTATAGAAAATGTGTCAGAACTCAGATCCTGTACAGAATTATCGATTTAAAATAGTACAAACGAGGACCAGTTGTTTCTTTCTTTTTTTTTCTTTTTTTTTTTTTGGAGAGATTTTCACTGTAGGGCGCATGCGCTCGCCAGACAGACAGAGAGAGACAGAGACAGAAAGCGAGAAATCACCCCCCCAGGGGGATGGCCATGCTGCAATCCCTTCTCCTCCATTCTCCTCTCGGGATCTTGGGCACACACGCACACGCGCCCGGCGTGAGTTTTAAGCCACCGGGTCCGGGACACGAACCGCGGTCGACTACGTGGGAGTCCAGCGACATAGCCATTACGCTAACTGCTGGTTCCCAGGACCAGTTGTTTCTAGAGGGAGTCCTAACTAACAAGTAATTCAAAGTAGGGAAGGGAGAGGATATGGATATTGAGGATGCAGGGTTTAACACCAGCTGCCTCTTGGAAGGGCTTCATGTTGAAGATCCCTGAGGAAATGGGAATATTCCATTAGAAATCGTTGTGCTTAAAGGGTTACTATTCAAGATGGTGGGTGTGTTAGTTTGCTTGGCTCTAAGAGCTACTTCATATAAATATATCAAAATATCATGTTGTACTCCTAAATATATACAATTTTAAAAACTAAAGCGAAAAATACTTATATTTAGTAACCCAGTTTAAAGATTTTTTTTTTAAATCTTCTCAGACATCTTCAAGCACTTATTCTCTCTACCTTTGTATATTTCACACGTTACCTGGGAGAGACTAAGCATGAGACACTGAGGAATAATCCAAAGCAACCCTTCTAGGGGCCAATGAGAAAGCAGAGCTGGTGATCAAGAAGAACTAATGCAGCCCTAAAGGCAGTAAACTCATAACACTACCAGGATATTCGAGGCCCAGAGCCTGCCCTTTCTGCCTTCCACAAGTCGCCTCAGGCTGACCAATGCCCTGTTTTAAACACTTTCTATTTCTGTTTAAAACCTCTCCTATTTCACAACTCTGGCTTTATGTAATTGGAAAAACTACAAAGGATAGTTGGTGTCCAGGGCCCTCCACTTATGATACCAGAGGTCATACTCGAGGAAAATTCATTTGACAAGTGCTAGGATGTGAGAGGAGTAAGTTACACTAAAGCAGCTGGATTTGAATTGGGACCATTCAAAAATAAACTTGTCAATATTTCTGTATAGATGAATTTCCTAACAATATCACTGTCTAAATTATAAAGTTTCAAAAATACTAAGCTGAAAGACTAATAGATCAGCCTCACTATATGAGAATATTAAGGGAGAAAAAAATGAAAACCATATTAAACCAAAAAAGGCACAGAGACATAAACTGCTCTGGACCAACATTCTAAAGAAAAGTTTGTTTGGGATCAGCAGTTAGCGTAATGGCTATGTTGCTGCACTCCCATGTAGTCGACCGCGGTTCAAGTCCTGGACCTGGTGGCTTAAACTCACACCGGGCGTGTGTGCGTGCGTGCCCAAGATCCCGAGAGGAGAATGGAGGACAGGGAATTGCACGCCTTCCCCTCTGGGGGGTTATTTCTCACTTTCTGTCTCTATGTCTCTCTCTGTCTCTCTGGAGAGTGCACACGCCTTGTAGCAAAAATCTCTCAAAAAAAAGTTTGTTTAATAACATCATTTTTAAAAAGTTCATTCTTAGTCAGCTTTCACTTTCTACTAATCTCACGAACCTATCACTAAAAATTATCTTTAGAGGTAAATTAATGTGCTTAATTTATTTTCTATGATTCTTATATATTTTTGACTTACATTCTCAGTTTATTGGATAATGATTTTATAACTTGTGACTTTTCTAGACAGAGTCGCTTATAGTTTTCTAATTCTGTTTCATTATTAGAATCTTCTTGAGAAGCTCTTATTTTGAGGAGTTCAGATTCCAAATCTCTCATTCTGAGTTCCATCTGACTTATCGATGAAGCACCATTATTCGCTCTTAACTGTTCTAAGTTTTCTTGAGATACTGCTTGTGCCTAAAACAAATTAAAATGATACATTTTTAGATGTTAACATTATTAATTGTGTATTTGTCGAAGAAAATCAGCTTTTTAATGGCTAGAAAACACATGGGTTTGCCAGAAAGAGACAGAGATAGAGAGGGTGTGAGTGCCAAAATCCCTTTGGTTCCATTTTTCCTTTGGGATATTGGGCTTTTACGGACACATGCCCAGTGTGTTTTTCAAGCCACCATGTCCAGAACTTAAACCATGTAGTTAACCATGTGAGATGCAGTCCCTTTAACTTCCATGTCATGTGCTGCCCCAAAGATAAATATTTTAAATTTTACCTATTTTTCCACATGTTTAAAATTGTCCTCTGGGCCAGTAAGTCAAAACTAAAGCAAACAAATACACAGATATTCAAGTAGTGATTATCTTAGATTTATCTTTTTTGGGTAGCCCCATAGCCTCATGGTTAAGGAAATCTGATCCCACATGGCTTATTGTCATCTGAGTCCCAACCACAACAGCTTGAAAAACACTCTAGGTGTGTGTGTGTGTGTGTGTGTGTGTGTGTGTGTCCCCAAAATCCTAACAGAATAAAGAAAAGCAGGAAAAAGGATTTCAAAGTGACTATATTCCACTGTGGGCATGATAAAGAGTTTGTAATTTAGGATATACAAAGAATGTTTACCATTAAAAATTAAGAGGACAAACTCAATTACAAATTAGAAAAAATAGGGCCTGCATGTGACGCGGTGGGTTAAGGTGCTGGACTCCCACATGGCCAATCACTATTTAAGTCCTGACTTGATGGCTTGAAAATCACACCAGTCATGTGTGCATGTGTGCTTAAAATCCAGAAGGAGAATGGTATTGGGGCATTGTGGTGTGGCCATCTCCCCTGAGGAGGGTAATTTCTCACTTTGCCTCTCACTGTATCTTTGCCTCTCACTCTCTCTGGTGAGTACACATGTCCGATGGCAACAACCAAAAGGAAAAAAAAAAGGAAAAAGATTTTGAATAGGCATTTCTTCAAAGAAGATGCAGAAATAGCTAAGAAGTTCATGAACTGATTTTTAGCATCATTAGTCAATAGGGAAATGCACATCAACACCAAATTGAGGCATCACTTTACACCACCAGAATGGAATCCTATTTCAATTAAAAAAGATGAGAAACTAGAGTTAACGAGGATATGGAGAAATTAGGGCCCTCATACAATACACAAATGTGAAATGGTGCAGCCACTTTGGAAAACAGACTGGAAGCTGCACAGGAGATTAGGCACAGAGTGTCCATAAGACCCAGCAGTCCCGCTCATAAGAGAAATGAAATCAGGTGCAAACAACAAAAACTTGCACAAAAAATATCATAGCATTATTAACAGTAGCCAAAAAGTGGAAACTACCCAAAGAAAGGTTCATCAAGTGCTGGATGGATACATAAAATGTAAAGTATACCCATACGATGGGGTAGTACTTAGCAATAAGAAGAAATGAAGTACAGGGACCCAGCAGTTAGCGTAATGGCTATGTTGCTGGACTCCCATGTAGTCGACCGTGGTTCGTGTCCTGGACACGGTGGCTTAAAAATCATGCCGGGCGCGTGTGCGGGCGTGCCC